CTTGGGCGCGGGGGGTCCAACATCAACCCCGCCAATGCAGGCCGAGTGGCACCGGCGGGCGTGCACACATACCCATCTGCATGGCGTTGCGGGGCTGGCTGGCTGGCTGCTGAGCTGAATACCTCAAGCAGTTATTCAGCTGCGGAGAGGCCGCCTGTAGCTGGGGATGCATCTGAGGTGCAGTGATAGGAACAACTGGTCTGACAGCCGTGGCGGTGTTGGAGTGACCGGCCCCGATGGGGTGGATGGCTCCCGGGGCTCCTTTTGTTGCCGGAGCTCCCCCAGCTCCACTGTTCCTGGGCTGTCCGGCTCCCACTGGCACCCTGCATAGAGCCAAAACACAGTGTCAGCATGCTGGAGACCCCAATACCCAGCCACCATGCTGATAAGCACCCCCAGTTATTCAGGGGGTTCAACGTGGTACCCTCTCAGGTGTTAAAGTAAACTGAGATATATATGTACATATTTATCTTTTACAGGACACAGTTGTAAGCATGCTGGAGTACATTTTCACCCTCTTATCCTGTGGGAAGAAGTGCAGGGTAAAAATGGACAAGATAATTTTTCTCATAACTTTTTTTCTTCAGCTGCATTTCTGTCTGAATAATTCCTAGCGAAATCACAAATCTAAATTGAGAAGAAATGGGTATCTCCCAAATGTCATTTTGTGTGCCAGAGGCTATTTTACAGGCACTAATGGAGTGATAATTAAAACAGACTCAGAGATCTTTTCTTAGGACCAAACCTGCATACAGCCCCACAGGGAGAAAAAAAGATGGATACCATCAAATCTGTGTGTGGCTGTTGAAGGAGACTGAAAAGCAGCAGACTTGGCAGGGCTTGGCTTGGCTGAACACTACCTACTGCTGTAAGTAGCCCTAGCTTAGACTTGGTAAGGAAATGCAAAAGGGAAGGGAATGCAACTGATCTAACTGAAAAGGAGATCCAATCAATAATCAACCCCTCTTTTGCTGCTCACTTAAACTGTATGAATAGTTTCTATTTCATCTCAGTGCCTGAGTAGACCTCAGAGGGAAGGAATGAGGCTCCTTCTCCTGTGCAAGGAGTTCAGCCTGGAGCAGATCTTGGTCCTCTTACCACTGAGCTAGAAACTCTCTGACTGGGGCAGGAGGACACCAATGGACAAACTTAGCTGCTGCTCAGCGGCTCTTTCTCTGAGTTTCTTACTCAGGTCCTTGAGTAATTTCCTTCCCCAGCAGTAGATGCCATGAAACAAAGGGATCATTTTGTGCTGTTCTCCTCTTCCAGGCTGCTCCATGTGCCAAGGTCCTCCTCCAGGAAAGGACAGCAGAGGAGATATGATTCAGAACAAAGTATGGTGGAGGAAATAGAAATGAGACAGTGCAGGAGGTTAGCAAGGGAGGAGAGAACAACCAAAAGGGTACAGGACCAATCTATGGGGGGTGGGATTGGGAGAACTTCTGGGCCCCCAAAATTATTGTGTGGGAACAGAAAACAGGAGTATGCTGAACAATCTGGTCTGATTCAGAGGACAAGAAAGACATAAGAAGCAACCCTAAGAAAAGAATGGAAAGGAGAAGAGCCAGAAGAATGAAATTCTGATAGAAAGAGACCAAAACAGAGTCTGGAAGATATGGTCCAAAAGTGTAAAAGATAACCACCCTCTCTGCCCAATCCTCCAAAATCACAGGAGGAAAAGCACCGCTGTGGTGTCATAAAATCCTTGACTCATCTCATTGTGCAAAGTTTGCCTGGATTGTATTTTGCTAAATGAATCTGTGTGGTTTTTTTCTTCAGTTTTTTTTTTTTTCATCAGCCTCCAGGTAGGGAAAAGCTGGGAATCCCACCAGATGGAATTCTTGACTGTCTGTCATCTGCTGTGAAGAGCTGGCAGGATAGCAGCAAGATTCAGCTGGAGCTGGTTTGGCCATCTGCACTAGATTGAGTTTGCCAAGAAAGCACACCTAATAGTCCACTGAGAGCTGTGTTCAGGTAAACATGCACACCAACAGGTACAGAAATTATCTGTGACTCCCACAGAGCTGGATCGATGTTGAACGTGGCAAATTTTCTCTGCTGCCCTGTGCCTGTCTGTCCATCTAAAGCATCTTGTCCTTTTTCCATCATGCTCTGCTCACACGTGCTCTGGCACCTTATAAATCTAGTTCAGAGTTATTAAATTCATGGGCATCTTCTTTTTCTTGGGTTTTGTAGGGAGTGGCAGAAAAACATGTATGAATCTATTCCTCTGCTTTGCTGTCAAAGGGGAACAAAGTAAGTTGAAAGTGCAGCAAATAGGAGATTTTGTTGCGAACAGATTTTTCTTGCTGTTCTCACTGAGGGTGATTTACACAGGAACTTAATTAGCTCACAGGATCATAAATATAATCATAAAGCTGCTTTCGGGTTTTGTGGAAAGCACTTTTGCCCTTTAGCACTTCTCTCTGTCTTGTTCTAGCTGTGACATGCTGCATTTAATAAAGTCTTGCTGATTCAGATCACCAACACTTCAGCATGAATTTCTTTACTAATTAAGAGCTGAAAAGGCAAGGAGTGAAGGCAGCCAAGGGGCTCTATATAATCAGGTAAATACATTTAGGTTGGTGAACAGCAAAGACCCCATGAATTAATGGGTTTTTTTTGACTGAAATGCAATATTAGGACTGTCAGCAGGCTCAGTTATCTAACCTTATTCTAACCTGCTCTTAACTGTTGGTCTTGCTCAGTCCACATATTGCAAACTTGACATAAACTGAAGCTGGAACAAACCTGGATCCATTTTTCAAGATCAACACTTTCTGAGTTGTGAGGTGCCTTTCTCTGGAAAGGATTGAAAGATGGTGGCGACTGTGTGCATGTGGGAGGAGAGACTGAGAGTATATGAGAAGGAGTGAGTTCAATTTGCAAACCCATGGTTTCTCTAAAGGAGATATGGGCAAGTGGGGCAAAACAGTCTGGGACACACTGATGAGCCTTCCCCCCAGCTTGAAGACTATTTCAGAGTGGGCTCTAGATCAGAAACACCCTTTTATTTGGTGTTGTCCAATACTGAACTCTGACAAATGCCATTCCTCCCCAAACATGCTATTCTTTCCTTTTCTTATCTTTTGCAACTGAGACACAGGTAGCTAAAATCAGACAATTTACTGAACTCTCCTACCACTTCTGAATTTTAAGAGTTCAAACATTAGTCCTGATCCAAACAATCCAAGACCTTTGATTTAAGAAAAACAAAATTTACACGAGCAGCTACTGAAAACCAAGACACGTACATTCCTTACTTTGCTTATTCCTGTTACATGTCCAATAGTTTTATAGCAATAAAAAAATCATTAGCCAACAGATTCTTTACAGTACTAAAATCTGGGCACATCAGACTTTGTAAAGTCATGGGTTGTAAATGCCATCATCTAACACAACTAGTGAAGTCATCTGAGAACATGGATAACTCCAATGCTGCAACCAGCAAGTTTCATTACCCAAGTCTGCAATGTACAACGTTGTCGCCAGAAAATTTCTGGAAGGAGAATGTGATTTAAAAGCAGAGCTACGTTTGTTTTAAGCATCCTCCAGACGCAGATCCCTCCCAGTCCCAGCTCAGGCATATCCACCTTGGCCAGTGGTCCTCACCTTGAAACAGGCGTCACATAGTTGCCTGGGAAGACACCAGACATACCACTCCTCAGAGATGTCCCCTTGAACCAGCCATCCTGGCACTTCTCAATGACCCGGTACATCTCACCTTTGCGGAGCTCCAGCTCATCATTCTTCTGAGGCTTGTAGGCGTACAGGGCTAGGTAGCTGTGGGAAGAGGTGACACAAGAAGAAAGCACACAGCTGACATCGACAACCACCTGTCCAGCTTCAACTCCAACCCCACACAGAGCACAAAGCAGAAACACTGCTCAGAAATGATGGTTAAAAAGGGACATCATTACAGTGTACCAAACAAGGAACGGCAGAGACAAGATCAAGCTGATGATAAGACAGTACAGGAATAACTAATCAGATTAAAATTGGAGGCAATTTAGAAATTAATAGGACATACTTCTCACCCAGGGCACAACACTGGCAAAACACTGCCACAAAGTAGCACTGAAGTTAAGAATTTAGCAGCAGTTTCAGAAGGACAAGGTAATTACAAAGACAACCAGGGTAACAAGGGCTTGAATGGGAAGGCTTTGCAAAGCCTAACATCTGGATGAAGTATATATTCATATGCTTCAGGGTGCGAGCTGCCGCTACTATGGATTTTCAGAAGAAACTTTTCTTACAGGCTACTTTAATACAAGTTTAAGGCAGCCTTTCTTGCAGCTTTCTTGACGCTATTTATGCTGGCCAGTTTTAGAAACAAGACACCGAACTGTTCTGATCCAGTATGGTAATTCTTGTATTATGTGGGTAAAACAAAAAGTGACAATGAGCCGAATTCTGCAAGGGGATTTTTGCTTAAGCAAGCAAAGTGGTAGAATTTGGCTTTGGAAGTTTTGTATGCAAGTATACTAATAACTATTTAATCCAGGACCCAATATGTAGAACTTTTTATTTATTTAATTGCAGCTTATATTTATTCCCTTTGTTTAGACTCTTTCTTTTTATCTCTCTTTTGTTCTTCCATTACTACTTCAGGGATGTGTCTAATGTTGTGAAATGACTACAACTTAATGTCCCTGTAGGTATTCTCTCTGTTTAGAGAGATCCTTGCTGAAAATTAAGAACGATTGCTTGCACTTTGGTGAATAATGGAAAGTTGGGATAGGATAGCAAGAACGCACACACAGAACAACACTTTCTTTGTAAATACCAATTTTAATTTGGTACTGTCGCCCTTCTACAAATGCAAAAAGGGATTTCTGGTAATTCTTCATCAAGGTTGTACTTTCTTGAGTTTTTTTGCTTTATGCATTACAAGCTGTGCAAAGTGACTAAGGCAAATCGGGAAACACCTAAGGAAAGTGCATTTACACTACAAAGTGCAGCAGAATGCTCTTAGGCTCAGGGGTGGGTGAGAGCAGGCTTGCTGCCCACCTTTTACAGCAGGGAAACAGAGAAATAATGAAAACTGTAACCATTGTGATTGTAGGCTTGCAGCAAATAAAAATGATATATGGCTTTTTACTTCTGCTATCCAGGAAATATAATTGAGGAATAAATCCTGTTAGTTTTCCTGATTCTATTCCTTTATGGTACCAGTAGATTTTCTTATTTTTATTCTGAAGGCAGTAAATAAACAGCAGTAATGAGCAGAATATGAAATATTTGGTAACAGCTCCTTGGGGCATGCTTAGGCTGATGCGCCTGGCTCAGTTTACCACGTGCATGGGGTACAAAGACCTAATCAGAAACTATATTTCATTAGTCAACAGATGGGAGAAACCATCCTGCACATCCTTTGTTTAGCCTATATAATCAGGTCGTCCTCAGCAGGTCTGTAGCTGTTCACCTGATGGAAAACATGAGGCTACACATGAACTGAAGAACATTATCACCCTGACATGAAAAAAGGTTACATGCTCCAGCACTAATCCTCCAGCACAGTGCTCTGCTAGGACATAACAGAAAGTGCCAAGACTGTACTCACTCCAGGAAGCAGAAAGTGCGGCTTTACCGCTTTTTAAGTTGCTGCTTACACAGGGCTCACATTCAGAAGCTATGGGTAAAGTGGGGGGTCAAGGACAGAGCATTTTAGATAGACTTACTTAGGGCTAACCCTTACCCCGAGAGGCTACATGCAATAATGTAATCTACAGTTTGAGCTGCTGGAAGAAAGTGCAAGGAAAATTACCTTAAGTGGACCATACGCTGCTTTCCCTTGCAGCTATCTCCAGCTCTTCTACTAGTTTCTTTCTGTTTCTCCCTGCAAATTCCCCCAACTCAGCCTCCAGTAATCCTGAATAAGCAACATCACAAAGAGCCTAAACATCCTCCGGAGAGAGTAGCAAAATCCTTGCAGAGACTAAAAGAAGGTGTACAACAGCCCAGCCTGGGCTCCATGCCAAAACTGACCAGTCTCTGTATGGCTAAGCTGATGAGAACTTGTATGTGATAACTACATAGCCTGACCCTGGGACAACGCAGGTGATCAATGCTTTCTTTGTGGACCAGTGATCCCACCACCTACATGGGGCAGTGAGGATGCCTCTCCCTGCGGGTTTCCTCTATCAGTCTGCAAAGAAGCAGGGGCTTCTCCAAACCTAGTGACAGGCCCAGCCTGGGTCCGCTGCCTGGCCATGGTTGGCATGCCAGCCCCATGGGGACAGGCGTGCGCCCTGTGTGTTGGCAGAGCTGGGGCTGTGGGAGAGCTGGCGGGACACCTGCTCTCATACACGGCTGAAAACAATTTGAGTGCATGCAGCTTCCCGCCCCAGAAAGCATTTCTGGGCTTTTCCTCTTGCAGGGGATCACAGCTAGTGGTCCCGTTTGCTGAGGCAGATTTTTGCCTTAAGCCAAAGCCATCGAACTTGGACACATTTCACTGTTCTCTAGATTTTAGGTGTGAAACTTCACCAGCAAACTCTCTACAACTGAGAAAAAAAGTGTTAAAACAACAATCTGAAATCTTGCAAAATGTAATAGCAAGTTATTCTGGGCTACGTGAAACAGTGAGGCTAAGGGTTAGGGAGAAGGACCTAGAGGAAGCCAAAATCTTTATTAAAAGTTCCCTAAAAAAGGCCTAAGCAAGAAGGTAGCTCACGTTCCTGGCCTTGGGGAGCTGCCTGTGACTATTTTAACACAGAAGACCCAGGGCTCTGCCTAGGGTTGTACCTCCCCAGTTCTGCTACAGCTTTCAGATAACGCCTCCTCTTTGACTGGAACTTGGCTCACAAATGCAAAATCACAGACCAGACTACGAGGCTGCTTCACAGGGGAGACGACAGGAGAAGCATGGGAGGGAGAAGAGGAGGCTTGCTGAGGCACAGAGGCAGGGGCATTGCCAGAGAGCTGGAAAATGTCCTGATTCAGCAACTAAATGCTGGAAGTACTGCCAGTTACTGTTTCCTAGTTTGAGCAACATTTAAAATAAATTTGTGCCCTGCTATGTGCCACACAGGCTGCATAGGGTGACCACAGGTTGATGATGAGGTCTCTCTGTGGGGCAGTCAATGGTATGCAGTACCCCTCAGGTATGAAGAACTCACCTTAGTAGCCAAGAACAAATTTGTTTTGGTTCTGTTCCAAGTAAGTCCCCTATTCTCCTTCAAGCACATTTGCTATGTTATTTTAGGATTTATTTGTGAATTCAGACCTCGGTTTAGTCATATCATAAAACCCTAAAATAGGTGGTGTGCATACTTGTGTGTGGCTATATAGTTCTACTGCTTTCACAAGGTGTATGTGATGAGAGGAAAGAGTTCAGTTGTTTAACTAGACAGGTACCAGATAAACCAATGAGGCTAGAAGAGATTTATTATAATGAAGTCTACCCTTTTTGTTCTGTACCTAGTCAACCTTCTGTTATTCCACACACTCTTCAGTAAGCTCATATGTCCACAATACACTTGCACTTTAGAAATTCATTCATTACCTTTGTTTATGGCAGTGAAAAAATGCAATTGGATCATTTTTTCTAGTTAATAATGAATGTATCAGGTGTTTGATTGCATGGGACTACGTTTTTTTGAGAGCTTTAAATGAAGGAAGAAGATTTTCTGTAGCTGAGAGGCATTCCATTTGCTTCACAGTGATTCATACAGCAATAATAAATATACCAGGAGTCTAAAAGGGCTCACAGAGAAAGGGGGAAGTCTTGCCTTTCTCTACTCATTTTTCAATTTCAACAGAGGCTGGGTCATGTATGAAATTGCAGTCTCTCTCTTCTCAGAATGCTCCTGAGCTGAGAGTCACACTTTCAGATTTCAAACACACACACACACACGCACAACTGGAAACAAAGAGTATGCAGTGACTGAGATGAGCTGCTTACATATTGAGGGGGAGCTGGACCTTCAGTGGTGTTCCCTGATCTCCAATTATTGCACTTGTCCTGGGACCAGCCACCGTGGCTGTTCCAATCGAAGAGGAATCCTGAAAATACACAAAGAAGAACATACAAGGATTAAGATGAAGTCCACCATTTCCTAAAATGCTATGGGGTGAAGGCACAGAGGAAAAAAATAATATCTTTTATCAATTCCTAGACTTTCTAACTTCATGATACTGTATTAAAAAAGACATCTTTTAGCCTTACACATTCCAAAAATACATTTCTGACACAAGGGATATTAGGTTATTAAGAGCATTTCCATGTACCTGTCAGAGAAATTTAGTTGTGCCTTGTGTGCAGATCTTAAAAGTTTTAGAACGCAAAACTACTTAACTGCTTTGTAAAATCAGCTCAACATGTACATCTCTGCAGTAATACCTTCTTTGGCAAAGGTAACCTTTTCCCCTCAAAAGTTTGTTTTAAAATTTGTACTCTTTTAGTTAAAGGTTGTGGATCTATGAAGAAGAAGATACAATTCAATTTCCAAAATGCAGTCTCATCTCTGCATACTGTTTTTATCATCAGGAATATTCTTCTCCATAAGAAAAAGGTGACAACACAACCCAAAACAGGAGTACCTCTAAATGGAGAAAGTAGGAGTCCATGCCACTTCTACCACAGCAAATAAATCCCCACTCTCATAGAGAACTGAGCAGATCTTTTCCAGTTATTAATGTTGAGAGGCAATTCTCAATGTAATCGTTCATTTTTCAAAGCTTAATGCTCAGCAAAAGTATGTAGGGCAAACTCTTTTGAGTTGTCTCACCAGAGCCCTCATTCATCCATGTCAAAAATGAATCCTGACTGGAAACTTCTCCTGAAGTAATGCCAAGGCCTGTAGCAACACATCTTTGCTGCAAAGACAGGGCAGAGCTGGGCTGATGGGACTTGTAATGGCTTACTTGTGCAAAATGCTTTTTTAGTAAGTTTAACTAAATGCTGCATGCACATCCATATGCAGAATGGCTCTATAATGTAGGATCCAAAGTTTATGCACAAATTGCAGGTTCAGACAGAGCTATTACGTAATACAAAGATTCTGAGCAGTTCACAGACCCTCAGAGCAGCTTTTCTGTTTCCAAATGCTATCTAAGAAGCAGTAAATACTGATTTATTTTGGGAACAGAAACATAGGGACATTTTTTGCACTTACAAATGACACCAAATTAAACCAAGACACACATTGCTACTTAATTAATGGATTTCAAGGCCACCTCATTCCAAAGAAGTCCACATAATTATTACAGTGTCATGTCTTGATAGTGCATTGTTAAGCTATATTGCATTGCTGTATATTAACATAATATCATTAGGAAATCATGCAGCAAAATATGAAGACACTGCTCTGTGGTTCCATGGCTTTTGGCAACAAGAAGCAAGCTGTCTCCTCTCTCACTGACATCTACGCTCTATCATGAAATTGTAGTGACAAGTACATCTCCTTTTTCTCATTATTTCCCCTCATTTTCTGGCTGCTTGCTCAAACAAGGAAGGTTCCAGGCAGCTCCTAGTCCTATGTGTAAAAGTAAGCATTCTTTCCAGTTCTGTGACTAAGGCTTTATTAATCCTGCCTGTCACGTCAGTGAGATAATATCAATTTACAGAAAAAAACCCCAACCCACCCAAAAATGTAGGGATAGTTGAGAATGATCCCTCATTTGTTATTCTGAGCTGGTTAATGGGGTTAGGGATTGCAGAAGGTGCTGGGCAGAGAGACCTGACCACTGCCTCACCCAAGAGGTGAGAAATTGGCTCCTTCAAACTTCTTCATATTGTGCCACCAGTGTACGCCTGCTCTGAGCTAGAGAAACTGCCTCCCAGAAAACAGAAAACAGATTGGTCCCCACCCTTTTCTGGTAGGACAAACCACTTTGTTTTCATCTCATGAAAAACCAGAGCTGAGTGAAGAGCCTTAGGGTGCAACCGTAAAGGCAGAGAAGCTCACAGCTGCGTAAGACACATGCAACTCCTTCCTTAACTCCTACGAGCCTCTCTGCACGCCTCAGCAAAGGCAGAGTTTGCAGAGGTGCTGCTATCCCAGCCAGGAGTGCCCACTGCAGGCACCCTGAGCAAAGCCAGCCCGACTCTGCAAAGAGACGGGCTCAAGCCCGGAGAGCAGCGTAGCGGTCTAAGCATCATCTATTTGCCTGTTTGCATTGACAGTGATGGCTTCTGTGTCTTCTCTATTACTGGAAGCATGAGCCCAAGTACTTTCTATGCGCTATTATGCTTGTACTAACATACAGACCTAGGGATTAAAACATCATGTAATTGCCATTCAGTGTTGCTAGATGACAATGTTGCTTTCTTCCCTTGAATAATCCCAAAGAAATTCCCATAGTCTTGTATGTTCTCTATCCGTCTGACATTCAGTTTCTTGCCTATGTCCTGTTACTGCAATATTGCTGGATCTGGTGCCAGCCAGGACTCTACAAACCATTCATTTTTGCCACTTTGCACAGCCTAGTATCATATGCATCCAAACTCTAAATCAGTGCCTGCTTCCTGATTGAGCTCCAGTTTTTCTTTAGTTGCTCTCCCCTGCAGGCTTTGACACGATGGTGTACTTGCCAGTCTTTCTATGACCCCACTTTTCATCACCAGGTTTTACTCCACAGGACCCGCTGGCCTTCCACTGCATTGAATTCAGCTTCTCTATTCACACCTTGGCATTTACTTTCACACAAGTATTCTGCTCTGCAGCTTCATCTGCCTCTTGTGCTCCTTGATGAATTCTCTTGGTGGCTGCCTGATTGCCACTATGCATGTGAACATTCACCAGCTTTGCATTTAAACTGCAGTCCCTGACACAGTTGGTGAATGCTTTCTAAACTTCCTCTTTCAAGGTCCTGTTCTCTCTTTTAGGCATCACTAATTAGCTCATATTATAAGATACAATATTGTTAGATTATTTTGCAAGATAATATTTGCAATAAGATTTTGAAAAAAATGAATTTTGTGAAAGAATAATCTACTGTTTCTTCATACTTTTGATTATATCTGTTGGAAGTTTAACTTTCCACTTTCCATTCCTACTATTTGGGTGGGTGACCTCAGCTGCTGGTGACACTAATAATCCTCCTGGAGAACACAGCAGGCCTTTCTCCATCACAGCTGGTAGTGGGGCTTAGTTTGTCTTCCTTCTTTATTTAGCCCTGGAGACAGGTTGTATTTTTGCTATTGTGATCTAAGGAATAAGGTACTAAACACGTTCTCATTTCCTCTTCATCTGCTCAGGGGAATGGGGATCTAAGAGGATGTTCTGATTTTTTTTGTTCCCTGCTTTAATACATTTTGGGACGTCTGCGTGCCACATCTTTTCTTTCTGATGGCACATCCCTGCCTGATCCACCTTTCTGTGGCACCAGGCATGCAAATACAGCCACACACAGGCATTACATAGGGAGAGCCCAAACACTACAGCATTTGCATCTTAATCCTTTTTCCAGCTCTGCTACTCACTGTCACTAAGCCTTACCCAAGATGAGATGTCTCCAACAGCCAGGTTTTTAAGAGGCATGTGGGCACCTATTAATAAAAACAGGCTCCTTGCAGAGTTTTCTCAGGGAGGCATTAAGAGGTACTTAACTGCCTGATTCCCATGGATTTTATTGCAATCTAAGTAATGAGAGTCACTTCTGAAAATGCCATTTGGTGCCCCTCTGTATCCTGATAAGCCTCTAATGCCTTTAAATGTTTGGCCATTGAGTTTCTAGAAGTGACCTGCTGGGTAATCATACTGTAGCACACCTCCTGATTAGGAGGCCATTTACTCTAAAGGTGGTGTGCCGTTTTCTGAGCTAGATGTTGCCAACTCTTATCCCATTTTTTAGGCCACTAAACAGCCAAATCCAACTTCTTCATGCTCCCACGCCAATCTGACATCCTCCGAGTATCACTTACCACTGCTGATGTTTTCAGCTCAACAGCAAGAGCTCTTCTCTTCCAAGGGACAATACAGACTCATGTGCCAGCTAGCAGGGAAAAGTGGCTGCACGAAGGCACACTGAAGACCACCTCTGGATACCTCTGCACTAATTTGTGCTTCTTTGTGCCCATTAGTAGCACAGCAAAGTCACCTGTACTGTGGAAGGCTAAATCTTGAGTAAAACTCCCAGACTACACACATGGGCACAATGATGTTGTGTGACAGATATCTTGCTCCCAGCTCATGCTGTGCTACTTGTTTTTACCACCAGCTACTCTGTAGTAGTAGGTGATTATGCACCAATGGGCTGGATAATAATATAAAAGGACCTTGTGTCTGCAAACATAACAGCCTGCTTATGACCACTGAAACATACCCCTGCCCCACTAACTCAAGCTAATGCCTTATAGAAACTCGTAACTCATGCCTTGAGTCCTCCTTAAAAATTGCCTGTGTCTTTCTCCCAGTCTCTGTGTTGAGTGTTACAAGGAGACTTCACGTGAGGGCCAAGAATGAAAAATGGCTCTGCACAAAGGTATCTTGGGGCTTGGCTATACTTGATCTAGTCCTAGTGGCAGTGTGGTCATCTGGAGCAAAACAGCAGCAGAACACGAGGTCTCTGCTCTTGGTCCCCACACAGCATTTCCAACACCTTTTTTAGGTCCTTAAGCAAGTCCCAGCACCAGGCACCAGTCAGGTGCCATGCAAAATGAAGAGCGCCAAAGCTAGCTGACAAAAATGAACTTTTCAGATGACTGTCCAGCCTGAGGGTCAACGTTTCCTAGTGAGAACAAACAGTCCAACTTCCTGAGAAGTCACCGCAACATGTCTAAGCTCAGATGGATCTCATTCCTCCTCCAATTGTTAAATATTATTTGCAAGAGAACTACAGGACCATCAAAACAAATTGCACTCTAATATACGTAATGATATATTTCTGTTACAGTTTATAGCATATACTCCTGGGCAAATAATACACTACTGAGACGTTGCTGCCTCTTGTGTCAGCTCTGACATACATTTAAAAGCAACCAGCCTGACAAAACATTACTGAGAAGCCCACAGAGACCAGGAAATTAAAGGTAATAACCACTCATCTGGGCTGAAACTTCA